AGATAATATTAAGCCCTCAACACAATGATTCATGAACTTGTTGGGTTCAGGAATGCCATGGAATATTGGGGGTTTTTGGCATCCTAAAGGAAGGAGTAACATCACAGCCACAGGCATCGCACTATTCACTTACTGACCCTTCAGTACTGCACTACTGCCTAAACAGAAGCGATTACAGCCCTGCCACCTTCTTTTACACATCTTTCAAGTAAGTTATTGCAAATTTCTTTACATGGGTCTGGCTGAATGTTATACTAAAATCTCTTTTCTCTCACAAAGAACAACCTGTGTCCCATAAGGCCAGCTGTCAAGGTGGCCAACAAGCATTGCTGGAACAGTATGGAGCCTCGGTCAGAGCAAAGGAGTTTTACACACTGTACCGCAAATGTTCATCAACTGATGGATAAGCAAAATATGAAGAGTAGATAAACAAAATGTGATATATATACATACAGTGGTAGATTATTTGGCAATAAACAGGAACGAAGTACTGATATCTCCTACGAGATAAATAAATCTTAAAAACATTAGGCTAAGTGAAAAAAGCCACTCTCAAAAGACCACATTTTGTTTGATTCCATTTATACAAGGTATCCAGAATAGGCAAATCTACAGAGACAGAAAGTAGATTATTGGTTGCCAGAAGCGGCAGGTCAGGGAGTGACTGCTAATAGGTACATGTTTCTTTTGGGGGTGAGGAAAATTTCTAAAATTGATTATGGTGATGTTAGCACAACTCTGTGAATATACTAAAAACAATTGAGTTGTACACTTTAAATTGGTGACTTGTCTCATATGTGAACTTTTATATCAAAAAAGCTGCTCTTTTTTAAAAAAGTTAAAGGCCCATCTGTACATCAAAATGTGGGGGTGCCAGTGTGCATTTGTAGGGAGGCACTGTCTTTAGCAGTTTCAAATCCTGACTTCCGGTGGGAGTATAAATATCACAGCTTCACAAAGTGTGTCCCTTAGTCTATTTCCATATTCCTCATCAATAAAATACCTATTGATGGATTCTGTGAAGTACTGCCACTTTCTTTGCTGTATCTAGTGACTGGACAGAATTTAGCAAGCAGGCATCTCAAAGGGCAAGGGTTTTGATTTATTCATATATACGACTCGTATTCTCAGCTTCCCCTGGATAGCTGGGTAGGACTTTTTTACTGCGAACACAGGAATTATCAATTTTATCTCTTCTGAGTGAGCTTTCATTGTTGTTTAATTCAAATGCCTTTTAAAATAAGCTAAAAATTTCCTAAGTACACATATAATATGGTAGAATCTATTAAGAGTTTCTAATGTAACTTAACACTTCCTCCTCATTCAGCTTTGCTATTTTGTTTAATCTCATTCACTTTGTGGCAAAATAACAACAATAATAACAATAATGATAATGTATTGAGCACATTAAATGCATTATCTTATTTAGCTCTCTGTCTAACTACATGACCATGCTAGTTGTCGGGCTCTTTTACCTGCCAGTAATCCTGTACCGACTGGGCTGATTGTCGAGCTAAGGCTGGGTCTGGAACCCACAGACCCCTCAAGCCCATTCACAGACTGGGTCACAAACCCTTCACACGCCAGGCTGAGTCCCCAGACCCCTCAGATGCCAGGCTGGGTCACTAGACCCCTTATGTGCAGGTCTATGAGCTAGATAACTGGCCAAAAGGTCCTTGGAAGCTGTAGGTTGGAAAGCATGGTTGTGCTGACACTTGCTGCCCCAGACAGTAAATGCCAGCCAAGGTGGCGTGCCAGACAGATGCACTTACTTCGCGCCCCCTACACACACACACACACACACACACAATGTTTACTGAACCATCCCCAACTGGCCCTGAGGTGAG